CAGCACTGTTCAATAAGGAAAGATATATTGCACCCAAAAAAAATTTAAAGCAAAGCTGCAGTAATTGAAGTATGTGAAAATTTTAATTTAGATTTACAAACAGATAAACCAAAGGTCCAGTGTGTAACATTTAGGGGATACACACATTCCTGAAAATAAGAATTGCTGTGCTTTAATTACTTTAGAATGGGCAGTTTTTATCTAAATACGGTCCCCTTCCACAGAGGCCACCATGTTCCTACGATAGACCACAATGGACAAACAAACACTGGCTCGAAATAGGACTTTTTCTCATTTGCCACAGTAGTTCTACTACAGCTTGGAAAGGGAGAGGTGAGGGGAGTTGGTTGCAATCTACAACCTTGTACATGTAACATGTATTTTTTGGTGGAGTAGGATGCATACAGTGGCTTGAATATATCAACCTATTATATTCTGTAGTTATACCATTCTGACGGTAAAGGGTTTGCTTCCGCTGCCTCACACTAAGGTAAAGCCCCTCAATTGACTGCTGAAGTCCTCTGTGTGTGGTGCCTTGACTGGCATGAGATGTATCTGGTGTCTCTGTAGAAGTAATAGTGAAAGCAAATTCACTGTTAAAACAACACAGAACCGTTTCAGTGTTTGAATTTGTATTTGTATATAAAACCCCCTTTTAATCCTTCATTAATATTTCATTGATATTTCTTTTAATACTTCATTGAACTTGGTATGTGCACTTCATGCAGGGAAACTGAAATACCCAACATAAATGTGGAAAAACATCTGATGGTGACATGTAGTTTGCTGTAACCCATAGATGATCAGCCTATTATCTTTAGCTGCTCTTTAATATCAAACTTAAATTTCAGACAGTAGTGGAAAAGGATATTTGCTGTTTCTTTTATCTGGTCATGCTTACCGCCAGCTGCCCATTCCTTCACATCAGAAAGCCACTGTGACACCACTTCATCTGTGCAAAGTAACTCTGTTTTTAGTTCAGCTAGCCTTGCCGTTTCATCCCGGAGTCTCTGACAAGTCTGATGAACAGTGTTATACAATAATCAGGACTTAGTACGATTAAAAACAGGCCAAGTGCACACAACAAAAGGATACACAAAACAATTAATAGGAGACTTACCTTCACATATCTTGTTGAAAGTGACTGACGTAGAGAGAGAAGTTTTTTTGTGGTTCCACCCCATTGCATGCAATGTAAGCATGTCCAC